GGGGGGGGGGTTGGGAAGGCGTATTGCCACAAAGTCCTCCCTCCAAAGCAGCCATTTTGTCTCTAGGGGAATTGATCTCGGTCGTCTGGACAGCAGTCGTAATTCTGGATGGTCTCCAGGCCTCACCTGGAGGTTGGCAACCCTAGTTCTGGCACCCAGTTTCCCCTCCCGTTTTCGGAAGAGACAGACAAATGGGACCATGTGCTGCATCCCCCAAAGCGTGGGACATCCCAGTCTCCTCTGACGTTTCAAGAGAATCATAGAACCATAGAGTTGGAAGGGACGTCCATGGTCATCTAGTCCAACCCCCTGCACAAAGCAGGAAATTCACAAATACCTCCCCCTCCACACCCCCAGTGACCGCTGTTCCATGCCCAGAAGATGACAAAAAACCTCCGGGATCCCTGACTAAACTGGCCGGGAGCCCCTTCTCTTCCTGAGCTAAGCACTGAGGCAACCCAGCACTGAGAACCCAGAAGACGTCTTCCCCTTCTCCCTAATCCTAACCCACAACCTCCCCTTTCTCTTTCCAAGCTGAAGCCACACCCAAAAGGTCTAGGTCTCCAATCTCACTCACTAGACACCCCCCCCCTGTCTCCTCCCCGGTCTGAGGCCCACAGTGCCGCCGAAGCACCAAATGACCTGGGAGAAAGAGTCGTATTCACCTGAAATCTCCTCCGTCACAATCCTGGGCCATAATGTAGGTGCAGCTGCCTTGGAAATGGACCATCTTGCCATCAAACGTGCGGTAGTGCGGGTCACCAAAGGCCACACAGGTGGCAGGGTGGGGCACACAGTGCGGGCAACACACGCCAGGGATCAAGGCTGGCGTCTCGTCCTGCCAAACATCAGGAAGCGACGAAAAAGAGGAAGATTGGATTTATACCCCACCCTTCACTACCCAAAGGTGTCTCAGAGCGGCTTACAAACTCGTTTCCCTTCCCCTCCCCACAACAGACACCCTGTGAGGTAGGTGGGGCTGAGAGAGCTCTTTCGAGGACTGCTCGAGAGAACAGCTCTGAGAGAACTTGTGACTGACCCAAAGTCACACCAGCTGGCGGCATGGGGAGAAATAGGGAATCAAAACTGGTTCTCCCAGCTCTTTACAAAAAGTCAGATGGGATGCTTAGAATACGTTTCAGATAGGACGCTGGTCTCGATAAGTATTCAGGCTCAACAATGCTGCTAAGCTTCTAATGGATCCCAGGCGTCTTAGCAGCATTTTTGAGCCTGAATACTTATTGAGACCAGCGTCCTATTTGAATGTATTATCTTTCATGACTTTTTGTAAAGCATTTTATAAGCAAGAGAGCTTTTGTACTACTCTAACATTTCCTGAGGAAGATCCAGTTTCAAAACGTTGCTCTATAATCCGGAGATGATGTATTTTTACACAAGGATTTTCTTATGGTTTGAAGGGATTTGTTGATTGCGTTGTAGTGCTTGTTGACCATAATATACAGAAAGCATCTCCTTTGCAAGTCTTGTTGACTGCTTGGTCTGTGGGTCGGACTCTCACGACTGTTTTTCTTTACATTTGTTCTCTGGTCCAGGACAGCCAGAATTCTTTTGGGCTGGGGATCACCAGTAGGTTCTTCTGTGCAGAGCACAGTGCTCTTTAGGGGGGGTGCATACCAGGAGAGGCAGTCTCGCAGATATGTGGGTTCCAGACCATTTAGGGCCTTAAAGCTAGCTTGGGATAGTGCTGCTCATATCGTGCTGTTAACAGGCGTCGTAAAATTTAATGACCAGACAACAAGGTCAATACTATGCAGCCATGAGAATGACAGGAGCGCTCTGTCCATGAATTTTAGCTGCACAACGTGGTAAGAAAACTTATGCAGCCAAGCTATACCAGAAAAACTGTAACTTTTAGACTTATGAATTATGTCTTTTAAACAGTCTTTTGTAGGACCGGCAATAAGCATCAACACAACTATAAATAAAAGCACACACCCCCCTTCCTTCTGAAAGACTTCATGCAAGTAGAAGCGGGCACGTAATTCTGGAAACTCCCGTTGGGGTTTGACTTTTAAAATACTGATGCAAAATTGACTGGTACTTGTTCTATTGTATGAACTGCAGGGCTATTTTGGGGCAGGAACGCACAGGAACGGAGTTTCGGCTGGCTCCCAAGTTGGCCACGCCCAGCAGGAACTCATTAGCATAATAGGCCACACCCAACAGCAGGAACTCATTAGGATTGGCTACATTAGGGGTGTGCGGCCTAACATGCAAAGGAGTTCCTGCTACAAAAAAGCCCTGGGTTTTGACAACAAACAAGGTAAACAGAATAACAAGCAACAGGTGGGTGTGGCTGGATAACCACACTTCTGGTAACATGGGGGTGCGGCCTAATGTGCTAATGAGCTGTGCTGTCAGGGGTGTGGCCCAATATGCTAAGAGTTCCTGCTGTTGGGTGTGGCCTATTATGCTAATGAGTTCCTGCTGGGCTTTTTCTACAAAAAGAGCCCTGATTTATTGTTATACTGAATGTACTGAATAGGCCCACCGCTGGACCTCCTGATGGCACCTGGTATTTTTGGCCACTGTGTGACAGAGTGTTGGACTAGATGGGCCTTTGGCCTGATCCAACATTGGCGTCTCTTATGTTCTTATGTTCTTAATATATATACCTGATCAGGATGTCATAAGAATACACAATGCACTTTATAGAATGACAGTTATAAACAGAACACATTAATTTACAAAAGTTTCTTGCAGTGTATATTTATTCATTGCTTGACTTTCCTAACAGTGCAGCTCGGGTTGCTACAGGCCAGCACAGATGGGCGAGAGAAGACCCAAGACTATCCAAGGGTTTCTGCTCTTTGTCTCCAGACGCAGCGCTGCCCGGCGGCAGAGACCCCTGTCGAGAATGCCCAGGTACAAGACAGAGCCACTGCGACATGGGAGAGCACTGGAGCACCCCGCGACAAGGGTCTTCTCCTTGGAACGTCTGCCCCAAAGCCAAGGCTCAGACACTCTTCCGTGCCTGGATCCGCCCTGGGCCTCGCTCCCTTCCGCACGCTGCCTTCTACTCACCGCGGCGCAGGCAACAGGAGGGCATCGCTCACGGTGGCAGTGAACCTCCCCAGAGACACAGGTGCAGGCCGTGCATTCGTCCACCTGCCACTGCTCGTTGGACTGGAAGGCGTGGCCCTGGTGGGAGCAGCTGCTGCTGGGATCTGGGAAGGAGAGGAAGGTGGTGGTGGGGGGTTACTGGCAATGTTCCCTCTAAGCTATGGAGCCCTGTGAGCAAAAATTCTACTTTGTGAGCTACTAGCATTAAAGTGGTGAGCAGGTTATTTGGCTACTGCATAAATTAGTTTGAAATGGAGCTATCCTTCCTGAGATAAGACAAAAATGATGAGCCAGAGGCTAAAAAACTGTGAGCTAACTCACACTAACTCAGCTTAGAGGGAACACTGGTTACTGGCTACTCGAACACGCCATGCTGGGCTTCCAGAGCAGGAGGATGGCTGGGCGTTGGGGGGAAACCTTGTTGCAGTCAGAGACTCAGCATGTCTGAACATTGGTGGGCACTACTGCACTCTAAGTGTGAAGAGAAGAGAAGGAGAAAAGGAGGAGAAGGAGGAGGAGGAGAGGAGATTGGATTTATACCTCATGGCCCTTCACTACCCAAGGGAGTCTCAGAGTGGCTCACAAACTCCTTTCCCTTCCCCTCCCCACAACAGACACCCTGGGAGGCAGGTGGGGCCAAGAGAGCTCTCTTGAGAACTACCCTTGAGAGAACAGCTCTGAGAGAACTTGTGACCGACCCAAGCCACACCAACATGCCAGCCGCTCTGAGACGCCAAGTGAAGGGCGGGGTATAAATCCAACCTCCTCCTCCTCCTCTTCTTCTTCATGGAGGAGAGAGTTGGACTAGACGGCCTAATGGCCCTTCCTATTCTATGGTTCCATGATCTCCAGGCCACAAAAAAAGTTTTACCTACCCGTTTCTACCCATGAAGCCTCTCTTGAACGGACAAGACGCTTTTCTCCAGACCTGTTGGCAACCCTACGCGGAATACAGTCAACGAATCTTGGAAGGAGCTGTAGGTAAGCAGGCCGTCTACCTAATGCACTTTTATCTCACCCTCCCTCTGAGGAGCTCTGGGTAGCTGTCCCTTCTATTCCGGGGGAAAAAACAACCCTGTGAGGTAGGCTCGGCTGAGAAGCAATTGTGGTTGAGCTTTGATTTGGACCTGGGCCTGGTCAATCCTTGGCCTTCGCTCTGATCGCGAGTGAGGGGGGCCACAACAGAGAAGGCTCTGCTATTTGTGCAATTTGACCAGCTCCGCTATGGGGTTTCTGTTCGTACCTTGGCACTGGGCACAGCAGCTTCCCGGCATCTGCACTTTCGTCCGCCCATCTTGGCACACCACCGGCACGCATTCCTGGATGTGGCACTCAATGTGCCCCAACTGAGACAAAGAGGGAGATGTCAGAATTGGGCTGTGGGTAAATGGAACCAGAAGAGCTGGGCTGCCAATGTTCCCTCTCAGCTGTGGAATCCTGTGAGCAAAAATTCTACTTTGTGAGCTACTGGCATTAAAATTGTGAGCAAGCAATTTGGCCACTCCATAAATTAGTTTGCTCTTAGTTTGCCCTTCCTGAGCAAAGACAAAAATGTGTGAGCTGGAGGCTAAAAAACTGTGAGCTAGCTCACACTAACTCAGCTTAGAGGGAACACTGCCAGTCACCCCTTCCTGCTTCCTTCCCCTCCTACCTGGTATCCCCAGACCACAAGAAACCAATTTGTACAGGCACCCCGCCACCCCATTGTTTCTTTTTTTCCCTTTTCCTGTTGTGGCTTCCCTTAGCTGTAGAAGGCTGCAACCAGTTGGCAGGCTTTGGCACAGTCTGGATGCAGAGAGCCAGACCAGACAGGCCACCGTATTTCTACCTCACCCTGCGGTCGACCGGGAGGGGCCAGGCAGGTAGCTTCCTTAAAAAAACAACTCTAACGTGCACATGCATATAACTGCTTATTCGCTAGGAGCGGATATGCAGTTATGTACACATCGCTAACTGCAAAAAAAGTGTCAGACCTCACCAAACGGCTTGAGCGTGCAAGGGAGAGATCAGACACCTGGAAATCCGCAGTGAGACAAGTTCAGTTGTAAACACTTGAATTTATCCGGCGTTGGGAAAGTCAGGGGTGAGGGCGGGGGGCCCGACGACTGAGGGAAGGGAGGCACATGTTGCCGTCTGATCGTGCACTTCAAATCTGGTAGGGAGACGCCACGACAACGGAGCAACTCGCCCGTCTGATCGCAGCCTAAGTTAAGAATGCAAAGCAGAGTCAGGGTTGCCGCTGGGAAATTCCTAGAGATTTGGTGGTGGATCCTGAGGACCTTAAGAGCCTCTTGCTCAGGGTAAAAGAGGAGAGCGCAAAAGTGGGCTTGAAGCTCAACATAAAAAAAACTAAGATCATGGCATCCGGCCCCATCACTCCTTGGCAAATAGAAGGGGAAGTTGTGGAAGTAGTGACAGACTTCACGTTCCTGGGATCCCAGATCACCGCAGACTGTGACAGCAGCCATGAAATTAAAAGACGCCTGCTCCTTGGGAGGAAAGCGATGGCGAACCTAAACAGCATGATAAAAAGTAGAGACATCACCCTGCCAACAAAAGTCCACATGGTCAAAGCAATGGTATTCCCAGTAGTCATGTATGGCTGCGAGAGTTGGACTATAAGGAAGGCCAAGCGCCGAAGAATAGATT